AATGAAAAAGACTACTTAAGAGTGTCTTCCCTCACCCTGCTTATAACCCTGAACAACTAAAAACCAAGTTCCAAGATGGCTAAAAGACACGTTGAAGACAAAACTAGCAAAGTTAGAAAGACCAAAATAATCGGTAAAGACCAATTTACAAGATTTCTAGATAAAGATTATCTTGCCTCAACCTGCTTATTCCCTGAGCAACTCAAAACCCAACCACTGAAGATGGCTAAAAACTGGAGCGCGATTGAACACTAAACTAGCGAAGTAGGCATACCAAAATGTTCGGTAATGACCAACTTACAAGATTATTAGATATTTAAGGTGTGTTACTTCACCCTGTTTTATCCCTGACCAACTAACAACCCAACTCTGAATAGGCTAAAAGCTGTAACGCGTCTTGACAACAAGCAAGCGATGTTAGACAGAGTATAATGATCGGAAACGATCAACTTACACTATTACATCAGTATCTAGCCTCACCGTGCTTATAACCTTGAAAAACTAAAAATTCACAACCGAAGATGGCTAAAAGCTGCCACGCGACTGAAAACAAATCAAGAGATAGGCTCGTAAAAATGATTTGTAACGAGCAACTGAAAAATTCATGTTGAACCGACATGTGGTCACGTGTTGGGACTTCCAAGATTGCGCAATGTCGAAACGCGTCGGAGTAATTAAACAAACCCATGAGTGAAGACGGACCAAATAAGTGGACCCTATGCCGGTTCAGCATGTGTTCACCTACCAGACCCATTACCAACTAACTGAAAAATTGCTAAATTTTAAGTGAATCATGATTACTAGCTGTCGAAACCTCTTGTTTCTGGTTTAAATTGGCTGTTTGCTCCATTAGAGTCTTAAGTCTGATTTAAGTCTGTTAAGCCCCTGTTTAAATAACGAACGGGTAAAGCAGGTAGAAATTTGCAGTCGCTTTGCATTCGATCTTTACAGACCTTCTAAAGAGTAAACCATTCTAGAGACTTCTGGGTTCTTTGGTCCTTTCTACCGAGTTGTCTAACGGCTGGAACTGCAGGACATTATCTTCTCCTATTGTGTGCCATGGACAGCAACGTCATCTTCTACTAGTCTGATTTAAATCTGAGACCCGCTTAAATAGAACGTCAAAGGTCCGAACTTGCATCCACCACAGGTTAGCAATTAGATCTCGATGTTTCATCACAAACAGTCGAGTAAAGGTTTTTGTCTTCGTGCAGACCATTGTTTCTTAAAACATTCTAGTGACTACTGTATGATTTGGGTTTTTCTTCAATATGCATCTGTCATCTTTGCCAGTCGATCTCACTAATGATAGTCAGAGCACATAGAACCAAAAGGTCATGGATGATCCAGGGATCGAACTGTCAGGGCTGATCAGATCGCATTAAGCTTTAGTGTAATAATGAATTAAACTGGCGACTGGTAGAGTTTTCAGCCAATTTGCCAGGCCGTACAATTTTAGAAAAATGGCTTTCATGTTATATTTCTTTGATGGGACGGAAAAGCACGATCAAATAAAGACCCGAGAAGAAGACTGCCTGTTGCGAGAAATGTGATCATTCGCATTCACGTTTCGTTTACCCATGGTTCTGACACAACTGTATTTTGGGTGTATTGCGAAAATTTTTAGGGTTTCTTCACACAAGTTTCAAGTCATCGGGTAACTTAATGATACCCAGAGATGTTTCTCCGTCCGTAATAAAAACACATCGGACAATTATAACAAAGGCACTACGTGCAGGCGATCCGTAAATTGAATTCTCAACGACCTTGCCTAGTTTTCTTTGTTGCGCAATCCTTCGCCTTCCGGAGGGTGTCTGTTCGCATCGGCTGCACTTTCCCTCGTGGTTTCCCTGTCGGTTCTATTTTAAATATCCTCGTTGAAGTCTACCCATCCAATTTTTTCAATGAAGATATTTATTTGAAATAAAGCGACTTCAGGAAGTGTACGTTTTAAAAAAATGACTCTAAGGACGGGAAATTTCCCAACTGAGATGATCATCAGTCGAAAGTCAAAATCCATCGCATTTCTTGCGCGAATTTGATTTTATTTTAGCGTTTTTATTGGAAGATAGGGACGGATTTGAATTTTTAATAATTCGTGTTATAAAATACAAGAAATACACCGACGTGAAGTGTTTTCGAAGCTAGTGCGATGAGTGTGAGCGCTTTCAGACGAGGAAGAACCTTGAGCGCAAGGCCCTTCCTCGTGTTGTGGCAACTTGGCACTCTTCTTGATCATCGTTACCGAAAAATTTCTAACGGTTTTTTAAACACGTGTTTTTCCGTATTTTCCACCTCGTACGAGAAAATCATGTGTTTTTGCTTGAAACCGGATCCTTTGGCACGAAAATGATCATCCACCTGGGTCTGATAAGCATCCTGTACTCGATTCTACTCTACTTCGCCTTCTCTTGCCTTTTCGTGTTCCTCACGGCGACCCTGACCACCAACTTCGTTTTCTTCGTCGTCTTTGATTGAATGTAAGACTTGAATGTTTGATATCGGTTTATTACACCATTGATGTTGGACGGTTTTGGTCTACCTACGTTCAGCAAATTTTGCCATTTTATTCTTAACTCAACCTTACATACGTTTTACATACGCCGGTTTGATTAAACAATGCAGTCAAAAAGTGAAAAACATTAATAAATGACATCTAATAAAAGTGTTTAGACTTCTTACTGAGAGCAATAAAAACTTATGCTTCAATTTTATACTTGTATTTATATTTTTATAAATATTATATTTTTCTCTTGCTCAAACCATAATAGACTATAGTATTTTTCATGGGGGGTACTAATAAATGCTACATTAAGACTGGATGTAACTATAAACTCACTCCTTAAAATTATTGTGTGTAAACCATATAGATATAATACAAAAAAAAATTAAGTGAATTTAAAGTAATGAATCAATACCAAATCTTTCTTAAATGTTCTTGTATATATAAAATATGTATATACATAAAAACAATCTTGTAACTAGTTCCATCAGTAAATATAACACAAGACACAATTCATAGGCTAACATTTTTACAATGTAAAAACTACGCAATGAATTTTTCATTAAATATGGCATTTCGTTTTTTCCCTTTTTTTAAGAGAGGATCATTATTCAAAATATCAAAAACAACAAAGAAAGTAAAAAATTTATAATTTCAAATTGGGCTTTTTTTTTCATATTACACGTTTATTCTGTACTGTATTACACTGTTTATTGTTTGTTCATTGGTTTGTTTTTCATTATCCTTTTATAAAAACATACTTTGTTTCTTTCTTTGAGGATCTCACACGCTACCTAGTACAGGCAGGGGATGTACAAAAATATTATTTCGTTCTAAATGGATCAAATTAACTTAGTTTGATCTTTTTTGATTATTTTGAGCAGCCTATCTTCATTTTGGCCTGTAAGATATGCTTCTAGTTTAGCCTTAAGTGATGAATCTGTGCAAACCTCAAAGGAAATCTCACAATTTAATTTGAAAAGCTGTTTAATTGTGCATGAAATTTTAAAAAAATGTATCATATGGAACGACATTAAAATATATTAGTCTAAAATATAAATTTTGTCTAGGAATAGTCTTCCATAAATAAATCCACTTACGATTTAGTAACATTTTTGAAGTAAAAAACATTTTTTATGTCATAATTTGATTTCATAAAATGGAATAGTCATTAAGTTGGCTTGCTTATGCCCCAGACAACTTGATAGTTGCTGCTTCTTTTTTATACCGTTCCTTAGGAAAAGATATGTTGGTGAGATCTCATATTGATCAATTTTTTTTTTTTTTCATTTCGGATCTTTCTGCTCTGTCAGACATAATTTGGCATTTTAATATTTTTAGTGGTGGATTTTGTGTTTTTAGTTGTTTCTTTTTAAATCTATAAGAAATACAAAAAGAAGATATTTCTTGACGATGTTTTAGGGAACAAATTTCAGTTGTTGTTGCCTATCCTCACTGTTTTTGGTCTGTCTTTCAGTATTTTTACATTTTTAGCAGTAGGTTTGTGTCTTTAGTGTTGTTTTTGCTTTTTAATTTATAAGAAATAGAAAAATGCAAGATTTCTTGTTGAGGTTTGAAAATTGATCATCATTAGTTGAGTTGTTTCCTTTCCTGTCCTATCTATCCTAAGTGTTTTGGCTTGTCGTTTGGCATTTTAGCATTTTTAGTGGTAGATTTGTGTATTTAATGATTTTTTTTAATCTATAAAAGATACAAAAATGTGAAGTTTGTGGGGCTGATCACTTGTAGTTGATGTTTCCTATCCTACCCTGTCTATTCTCGGGCTGCTCTTGCCTATTTTTTAGAATTTTTCATTTTTAGTGGTAGATTTGTATTGTGAGGTCTCTTTTTAATTCTATGTTAAAAAAAAAAAAAAAAGAGAGATTTCTTGTTGAGATTTGAAGAGTGATTAACTTGTTTTTGGGCTTTTTCTTGCCCTGCTTATCCCCTCGCTGTTTCAGTATGTCAAACATGTTTTGGCATTCGGTAAAAATCTTTTATAAAGTTTTTGATGAGTTCTGGGTCAATGAAATTGTTGATAAAGTAGTTTCCGATCACCCTGATTTGGTCTGTCATGCATTTCAGCATTTTGCCCTATTTGGTGGTCAGTTTGTGTGTTATTTCTTTATAAACCTATAAGAAATACAAAAAGGTAAGATTTCTTGTTGTGGTTTGAAGAGTGATGAACTTATAGTTGGTTTGTTTCCTGCCCTGCCTAATTTGTTCTTTTGGTCTGTCAGACATTTTTCAGCATTTTATCATTTTTAGTGGTAGGTTTGTTTTTTAGTAATATCTTGTTTTTTTTGTTTAAATCATTTTCAATTGCCTAGTTCTCTGACAAATATATTACAACATTTTGCCATACCCGGTGTATTTGTGCTGTTTGATTAATTAATAAAATGTTTATTATTTTATTATTTATCTTTTCTTTCTATTTCAATTACATTTTTTTAATTGCTTTTTTGTGTGTGTTATTTTTTTATATTTTTTTTTATTGGAGGTTGATGACCAGATGAAGTTACTCCAGCACTCGTGGTCGGACATGCTCGTGCTCGACCACATGCACCAAAGGATGCACAATTCACTGCCCGACGAAACGACACTACCAAATGGACAGAAGTTCGATCTGCTGAGCCTCGGCCTCTTGGGCGTTCCATCCCTCTCCGAGCCCTTTACAGAGATCACTACCAAACTCCAGGACCTCAAATTTGACCTGAGTGACTACATCTGCATCAAATTCCTCCTCCTACTCAACCCAGGTGAGACAACAGATGGGAAAATCTTGATGGAAATGTTTGTAAAGTCAATGGTCAATGTATCGGAAAAGTTTAAAAATAATTAATAAACTTTTATTAGTACTAAAGACTCTTTTTAACGTGAGCAACTGATAGCAAACGTTAATAGTGTTCATGTTATCTTGTTTAGTACATTATTTTTCTATGTTTACAGAAGTGAGAGGCCTGATGAATAGGAAACACGTCCAAGAAGGACATGAACAAGTTCAACAATCCCTTCATGACTACTGTCTGACAACATATCCACAAGTGCAGGTAGATGTACATCGATTTATGATATTTCTTACAATCCACTTTCGGTTTCACACTCTAAAAATTTAATAAACAACCAGTTTTTGTATTTTAAAAAATTTTCCCACTGATTTTTCAGTGATTGTGAAAATGTTTAATTGGAGCTAGTTATGTTAGTTCTAACGTTTGCTTATTTGTGAAACATTTACCGCATTTCTTGTAGAAGGCATGAATCAAAAGTAAATTTTATTTGGCAGAAACTGCAGTTGTGAAATCATTTGTCTTCAAACTTGCAGTTGAAGTATTGGTAAAACCATTTCTCACAATGTGTTGGTTATGAACTTCTGCTGATAAGGGCAACGAAAACATTGTTAATTTTTTTCTTCTTCTTTTTCTTTCAGGACAAGTTCAACAAACTCCTGCAGATCCTTCCCGAAATCCATAGATTGGCGACAACGGGTGAGGAACACCTGTACGTGAAACACTGTAACGGAAGTGCACCGACACAGACACTCCTCATGGAGATGCTTCACGCAAAGAGGAAGTAACAATATTAATAGATATGTCAAGGGACTCATTGCAAATTTACAATACTCCTTTAGGCAGAAGCATACAGGCGTACCGGCATCAAAATGCCAGCTTATTAGGCCAGTATGCCAATTTTGAAGGAGTAGGATAACTATAAAAAGAATTCTATTGTAAAAAGAACAACAATCTCCAATGTCCAATGTGCAATATTCATTTAAAGAGGAGAAGAAAAAAATCCGAAGAAAAGTGAGATTGCAGGTGTCATGTGTTCATAAGTTAATAAGCAGTTACCTGTTGTGTGCCCTAACCACAGTTTACCAGGCTCACAAGACAACTGTGTAAATTATAAAGAACAGTTTGTAGATTTTATTATGTTATGGTTATAGTTTTAAGTGTGTGATGTGCAAGACAGAAGGATTATTTGACTCTTTTTTAGATCTTATTGTTTAATAGAAAAGAGAAATGCCTTCAAAATATATATAAAATATAAAAAAAAAAATTAAAAATAAAATCTAAAAAAAATAAAAACAAAAAAAGTACAAAGCACATTATAAATTGCTTATTTTTTTATTGAAAAAAGGCATTATATAAACCAAGAAGTACATCTTTCATCTCGCAGGCCCAACACCAACCATATCTTTATTTTTTTTCCTAAAATAATGAATTGAATTTTATCATATATTGTTATTTGTTGTTTAAAAAAAAAATTGTTACCGACCTATCGCCTGCAGATTTTTGTTTTTAATAATATTTTAAATGTACAAACACTCAAAAATATATAAACGTATATTTTTTTGACGAAGATTGTTAAATTACTGTTATACATTCCAGTTTTACAAGAGGGTCTTGTTCTGGAAGGGATATTTTGGGCATCATAAAACAAAAATTTATTTATGTATAATTAATTATAAATCGTTATCCTCACAAAATTGCTAAAAGCATGTGAGGTGGATTCACATGGCTTGCAAGAAGAGAAAAAACAGTTGTGATTGAATTTTACTAATATATTTTTTAATAAAAATGTATAAAAACAATTTATAAAAAAAATCATTGTAAAAAAAGTTATATGTGTGTAAGTCAGCTTAAACCATAAGAAACACAAATTGCAACAATTTACATTCCAAAACGAAAGTTTCAACTTTTATTTTTCCTTTTGCCATAGTTAAATGATTAATTTTATTTTTTTTCCTTTTTGGTTATGGCTAATTTCCATTAGACATTGCACATTTTCTCTTGTCTTTCTTATCAACTAATTTTGTTTCTTTACTTGTTAACACGTTTGGGGTCATGGTGTTGGTACATGTATTGATTTTAACTTTTTGATTTTTTAAATTTTTTTTTCTTGAAAACCGTAAAGAAAAATAATTTTTAAAGGCCAGCGTTTGTTGTTTTAAATAAGGAAATCTAAATAAAAGTTGGCCTTTAACAATTTGATAATTATTTTAAAAAAACTAATAACTTTTGACAGTTTTAGTTGATATTTTTGGTATGCATGTTTCCTGTTAAGATATTTTATTAAGTTTTAAAAAAAAATGTGTTTTTTGTTTCTAGTTTGAAATATTTTTATGGTTTTGATCCGTTAAAAAAAGATAAACAAATAAGAGTTACCAGTTATAACATGGATTAATTGTAAAAATTGGACCCAACTGTGATCAGTCACCACTTTTGTGACATGTGACATAGATTAAGAGTAAATGGTATTTTTAGTCTTTATGACAAAATATGCATGATTTTGTTTGTATTTTATAGTTTTTATTAATACAAGAATATATAATAGTTTAAAAAATAATTTACCAGCTACAAATAAATTGTTTTAATAAATTCTTTATCAGGCGTGTAAGAGAGTTGAACGTGCGAGAGAGAGTTATCGAGTGAGTGAGATTGATAAAGAAAAATCGATGCAGAAAAACCTTAAAAAGATTTCCACAAGAAATATTTCACACATTTTTTTCCATATGATTCATTACTGTAAAACTTCTGTGTGAATGGTTCTGTGTGGAATTTGAGTTTTTTTTTATTATTGTAAGAGTATGTTTTTTTTGTCACAGTTACCTACTGGAACTAACTATTAGATGAAAAAGTTGTTAAAAGAAAATATATAATTTTAAATTTTACAATCCCAGACCAAAATTAGCGTCCACTGTTTCGGCCGTTTTGTGGCGGATTAGAAAAAGAAGAGAAAAAAACTTGCACTCAATCGCATATTTTTAATTGTAAAATGCGTTATGTATAATAACAAACATCTGTCTTCGCTGTCAACAGATTGATCTGTTTCTATCTAAAAGTATGATACTTTTCAAAAAATCTGCCTTGCTAAAGAAACATTTTTTAAGATCTCCACTAGCACACATTTAATTAAGTTCCCTAATAACACAATTATCTCTTCAAGAGCAGGGTTTGAGTCTCGTTACATTTTATAATGTGTACTTAAAGATAATTTGGATTTTTTTATTCAAATCGGGAGAATACAGAGGCTCTTCCAGAACTTGTTAAAATTTTATGAAATGTTCTAATGAAAAGTTACTGTATTAGTGAAATGAAATATATTTCTACTTACCTAAGTTGTGTAGTTTGAACGATTTCTATAATTTTTATAGAACGAGGTTTTTTTAAATTGCAGGCACTATCTTCAGCCACCTGAAAATTAAATATAGATCAATGTTCAAGTTTATGCGTGTGTTGAAAACTTTCACTCAAAACGTTTAAAATACAAGGTAAATCTGTTTGCGAAATAGAGGTTTGTTTAAATACAAACGTCGATTTTTTTTTCCCCTAAAAAAATTTGTAAATATGCATAACTTTTTAAAATTATATTTTTGTCTTTTGGTTTTCTGTTCTTTTTAGACAGCATATGTATGTGCAATGTATAAAAAAAATAATAATGTGAATGAGATATAAATTATGTATATTTTTTGTTTAATGCTGTCCATTTTTTACACTGCCAGGCTTTTTAAATGATCTGTCACTTAATTGAAATGATGGAAACATTAATCAATCCAATATAATATGAAAAAATGTACATTTTTCTATGTATGCTGTAAATTTTGTGATGATTAAAAGAAAGAAATTGGTATTTTAGTATGAGAATATATTATATATTTTTATGGAAAGTGTTATATAGAAAGAAGAAGCAAGGGGGAGCAGTTATTAGAATTTCTTTTAATTGGAAAAAAAAGAAAGTGATAATTGAAAAAAGTGTATTGTGATTAAAGAGAATTTATTTTTAAAAAAGATATTAAATTACTATGAGAATTTTTAAGAACTTCAGTTAAAATTTTGATCCCGGTTATAAAAATTAGATAGAAAAAAATTCATATATTCTATTTACTGTTACATTTGAGCAGAATTTTATGATTATAGATTATTTGATGAACATCACATTTATTTTTTTCTGGTCTAATGTTTTTTAAAATCTTGTTGAATTGAGAAAAAAAAATTATTTCTAGCAAAATCGATACAATGAATACGAGCCTACATATAATATTATATAACATGCACATTAATAAATGAGAAATTACTTAAATATTTTATTCAACTTATTTTTGTACACAATTTTGGAAGTGTCTAGTTTTACATAATAAACAAAAAACACAAAACAAAAAACTTTTATGTATATTTTTTAATTGTTTTTTCTTTTATTATAAATGTATTCATTTTTCTTTGTCTGTGAAAATATTTATCAAGCAAAATATATAAATAATTATATGTATATGAGGATGATAAAAAATTAACAATAAGTATTTAAAACAATCAGAGAGCACAATATGATATATTGTGATGTTTGATTACTTGTGTCAAATAACCAAGATTTCTTGTGATGATTTTGTAATAATTTGTTTTTAAACTGTCACAGATTTCCTCTGTCCTGTAACCTACCATTCATTATTTTTAAATATTGTTTATTAAGACATGGAAAATTGTTACCTCAATTTATATAGTTAACTTGTATTTTTACCATTTTAACAAGTCAGCATTACCATGTTAATAATTAATGGCGGCTACTGTTGCATTATGTCAGTGTATATATATTATAGGCATCTTTTATGCAGATGCTATTGTTTTTTCATCTCTGGTTGAAAGATGGCCTCACTTTGTCAATAACTTGTATGTATATAGTCTTAGGTTCTTTATTGTAGAGTAAAATAAAAAATAATAAAGGGAGTAAAAAGTAAATCTTTTATTATTATTTCTATTATTATGATTATGATTATTATTATTATAGTTCTTAACTTATTATAATTTTTGTATTACCAGATAATAAAATGGTAAACAGTAATAAATTGACATGGTGAAACTGTCCTTCTTCCAGTTACTAAATATTGTGGATGAAATGTAGATATAAATAAAAGCAAAATATTTTATCTGTCTCCTGTTATTTGCTACTTGCTTGTGCCTTTAAATGACCCAACATCACTTTTTGCTATGGTTTGTATTTTTTAGACCCACCACACTATAAACTTTTAGTTGAATAGGATATATTATTTTTAGTTGAATAGGATAAAACCTTTTGCAATGTCTGACCAAGATCTGTTTGGTGACGAAGACACTGAGAGCATTCAAGATTCTCAGTACTGCTCGGAGACTAGAATGCTCAAGCATTACTGGAGCTATGAGAATGGCCCCCATTGTCACCCTGGAAGTCTTCCTGAATCCCACTATATCTTTCATCTGGAGAAAGCAGAGCCACAATTAACATTCTCACAATAACCTACTCATAAAAATAAGTAATAAAAATTCAGAAGGAACTTCAGGAGACAAATTTATAGGGATGCCAGTTGACGCCATGAACTCCCAAAATTCAGATTTGATAAGAAATTTCAAATTAAAATACCTGATATGCAGATGGCTCTAAGACGGTAGGGGCCAGCAACTGGTATCTATGAAAATTAACCAATGACGAATGCAAATAATACTTGGGAAATATTCCACTCTTTCGAGCAGAAAATGTAACTATAGAACACTGTGCCAAGGAGATAAAAGGCAAGAATAGGCATTTATTCAGACAGCCAGATGGCATTGAGAGCAATTACTGCATCGGAGTAAAGTCCCGTCGTTTGAGTTGGAGGGCGCAGAGGGTAGAGGGGCAAAATGGAGAGGCCGAAAGATTGGGCAAGGAAGTTCCATGAAGACACCTATCGGTTCTGAACTCTTTGGCGGCATACCAAATTGCCAAAAAGGTAGATCCATCAGACATTGGATTAAGAATAAGTTCTCAGTTCAATGGGACTGTATTCCAGGACCGTGAGAAACAAAAAACCTAATTAAAAGACCCTCACAGAAACTAACTGAACTATTAAACCTACGACTTGTCAGGTTTAGAATGATAGTTGGATGCTAGTAGGACATTGCACTTCCGAGGCTTATGCATACACTCGGAACAGTAGAAATAAGCCAAGCAGATATTGCCAGGAAGAAGAAGAAAAGCAGAACATGTCCTTCTAAAGTGTGAATGCTTATGCAGGCTGAGATTCCTACGGTAAGGAAAAGCCAAGGCATGAAAGATGCACAGGATTTTGAGAAAGCTTTTGGGCTGTAAAATACTCCACTTCATAGATATAGTTTTCGTTGAGTGAAAGTACATATTAGTGAGAAAGTAAGTATAGTGCTGATGGTTGAATATTGTGAGTACCCCCCTCAACCATGACTTTCATTGTGTACAGGAAGAATACTATGTACTCCTTACTCTTAGAAAAGAAAAAGCAATCCCTGAAGGATAGCAAAGTTGTGAGATCTGATAAAAAGCCAGCTTCGAGCTTTACGAAGATCTGTAGACAGTGATCTAAATGGACACATTGGTCTCTGTGCGCAAGGTCATAAAGAGGCTGGCTCCACTAACTGAGAACTAACTTAAACCATATTTGAAAAGTAGTACGCCAATGATACTAAAATATTGCCTGTTTAAATACTTGTGTATCACTTTGACTATCAACACCATCGCTTCCTCGATCTCACAGCCATCATCTCATCAGTCGGTGAGGTTTCTGATGTGCTGATTTACGGTGGTTGGGAGGGTTTTTTGAAAATTGCAGTAACAGGAACAGACTTTTTATCTAAGGTATTGGTTGAGATGAAAAAGTGTCGTGAGCGGGATTCCAACCCACGACCTTCGGCTCAAGTGGTTAGAGTAGCAGCATATTGAGCCGAAGGTAGTGGGTTTGAATCCCGCTCGTGACAGTAGTTTTTTCATCTCAACCAAGACCTTAGATAAAAGTGTAATTAATTTAAATAAATTCTTTAGATATATATTTTTTTAAATGGTGGAAATATGGAAAAGCGCAATTTTAAAATAGTCTAGGAGTCAACATGTTCCCTTTTCACTAGTTTTCTGGCAAGTTTTCTGCATACAATCAATAATGATTATGTCATTTAAGCTTATTATCTAGTACAAAATTTAGATAGTTTACAGCTTTTTTATTATTGTTTTCAATCTCATAACTGATAAATTAATTTTTATTCACATTTATGGCTAGTATGTTAATGTAGAAGTAATCATATACTTCAGTTAATACTGTTGTCAAATTTTTTATATTGTCTTTAGTATCGCCAGCAAGTTGGAAGGGGGAAATATTCTTATCTGTACTATTATGAGAGCTTTCAAGTCATTTAAATATATCACAAAAACTATAGGTCCTAATTTGGACCCTTGGGCTACACCATGTTTAACAACTTCATGACTAAAATAAGTGCCATTAATTATTAGTCTGTTTCTTGTTTTATTATTCAATTTTCACAAAATTTCAAAGATTTACCCCTGATGCCAAAGTGACGTAACTTTTCCAACAGAATTGTGTGATTAACCGTATCGAATGCCCTAGGCACATCACATAGTATATTATGGTCACATAGCCATTGTTATAGGTGTTTTTTTTTCATAACCATTACATGTCATTATCACAACATTTATTTAAGCAATGGTTCTTAGGTCATTTCTGTATCCATATTGTGATGGACATTAAATTTTTCCAGGAACTTGTACAGCCTATTCTTGAATGCTGTTTTAAACAGTTTTGACAAAGCTGGAGTAAGTGTGATCGGTCTATATCACTTGACACACTCTCTCTGACCTTTTTTACAAACAGGAGATACATTAGTAGTAAAAGTTTAAGTTTATTGGGAAACTTTCCCTCTATAAAGCTAAGTTTAAATTAGCTAATTAAATGACTATCACTGATTGCCTCATTTATATGTTTGGCTAGATTTGTGGACATACCATACACATCTAGGGCATTGGAATTTCTTAGGTATAGTATATATGCCATATACCTTGAGCAAAGGTTAGAAATTTAAATTATTTCTTCATTCGCTATCACTGAACCGATTCAATTGTCTGTTGGGGGCTGGACTCGGCTGGCTTGTCTGCAGTGGGCGGGTGGGGTTGATAGGGCTCCCTGAGCAAGTTTAGCTCCGGGGATTTGGGAGATGTGGACTTTTCCAGATATCCTGATGTAAGGTTTATATCCACATCTCAAAAACATTAGACCTTTAAGATTTAAGATTGAGAATATGAGAGGGGAGCCTTATCATTCCCTGTTCTTTTGCTGCGGCTGGGTTGGATGCACGGCCCTGAAAGCCTGAAAGTTGGTTCATTGGCTAATGTATAACAAGGCAAAAAAAAAAATTAAATAATATCTAATAAACCATTTATTTTATATATTTTTCATACTTTTTTAAAAACTTTAAATCGTTGTTTAATATTATATTTTAATTTTAATTTAGGGATGGTTAGGGGTGGAATTTTAATTTAGATTCTTGTTTTTACTGTTCATGTCATTAATTCATTTTGTTTGCTTTGTTCTTGTGTTTGGGCTTTGTTTTGTTTTGTTCATAATGTTATTGTTCAATTATTATTTGTATTTCACTTATGTTTAGTTTTATCTATGAGTTTGTATTAAAAACGTGACTGATTTTTTTTTCTTTTTCATTCATGTAAAAGGCCATTAATTATAGTAAACATATTACAGCTAATATTTAAAGCTTATAGATGTTTGGTTTTTTATCAAAATTTTAAAATAAAAAAGCTATGCATAATAACACACCATGCTATTTAGAATAGCACACTATGCTCATTTTAATTGTCATCTAAATATTTTATAAATGATCATTAATGAACAATGTCAAGTACTAATATGCTGAGCCTGTCGGTGATGTCACTATCTTTAGTTCTTTGGTGTACCGTGGATACTAGTTTAATCAGCAACCCAGAAATGAAATATGTACAACCTCAACCACGTGGTTTGGAAAGTTTGAAGTGGATTTTGTTGTTTGAGTGCGAACAGTAAATATTTAATTTTATTATAGAACTCCATGCGTTGAAGAGTGTGCATAGAAGTGTTTTATACGCGGAAAGTGTTGATTTGCTTATGTTTTTATTTATTATGGAAATAAGATTATTTTCGGTTTCTTGATAAAAGTGAATAAGGATTTCACCATGCCCAAAGAGAAGAAGGAGAGGAAGACATCGGTGCACAAGGATGTCTGTAAACAGGGGATACGTTTCAACAAGACCTTCGGTCAGCACATCCTGAAGAATCCCATGGTGATAACCAGTATGGTTGAGAAGGCGGCTTTGCTTCCGACAGACACAGTTTTAGAAATCGGACCTGGTACGGGAAATTTGACCATTAAACTTCTTGAGAGAGTGAAGAAGGTAGTCGCATGCGAGATAGACACCAGGCTTGTCGGTGAACTGCAGAAAAGAGTATGCGGTACGCCATATCAGGCCAAACTTGAAATCAAGATCGGCGATGTGCTTAAATCAAATTTGCCTTTTTTCAACACCTGCGTCGCCAACATACCTTATCAGATATCATCACCTTTGGTGTTTAAACTGTTACTCCATAGACCTTTCTTCCGTTGTGCTGTACTCATGTTTCAGAGGGAATTTGCTCATCGTTTAGTCGCAAAACCCGGCGACAAGCTTTACTGCAGGCTATCCGTGAACACACAGCTCCTCGCCAGGGTTGATCTCCTGATGAAAGTCAGTAAAAACAATTTCAGACCTCCGCCCAAAGTCGAGTCCAATGTCGTTAGAATCGAGCCTCGTAATCCACCGCCGAGCATAAATTTCAAAGAGTGGGATGGCCTGACAAGGATAGCTTTTGTGAGGAAAAACAGGACCTTGGCTTCCGCTTTCCACCAGGCGACTGTGGTGGCCCTCTTGGAGAAAAACTACAGGATCCACGCATCGATAAACAATATCCCCGTTCCTGATGATTTCGATGTCAAACTTAAAATAAATGAAGCTTTAACAAATTGCAATGCGCTTGAACTAAGGGCTAAGAACATGGACGTTGATGATTTTATTAAAGTTCTTCATTCTTTTAATAGTTTAGGGTTTCATTTTTCATAAGCTACCTTTATATTGACTGTACATACTATTTTTATATATTTTGAAATAGTAAAATATAAGTTAATTAATGTTTATCAGAATTTATTACTTCAAAATTCTAACATCTATACAAAAATATCTATATCTAAATATCTATTCAAAAAAAATATTAAGACAAACAGCTTAGTCAGCCAACTATCAGAGCCTGATGACAACATAAAAAATAATATCATTTTAGAATGGGTAGTGTAAGAGAGTTTTGGTCATTAAAAAAGTAAAGTAATTCCTGTCATACAAGAAGGTATAGCCCAATTACCTGGACACGGACGAGGTGTCCAACCCTTTACAATATATTTTTCATACTATAATCAATTAAAAAGACATGTTTTTTACCAGGATACGAATCGGATGCCACTCGGGCACTGCAGTCCTCATGGGTTGTGGTCAATCACCTGTGAGATATTTATCAATTTCCAATTTTTAAGCCTACCCATGCCTCTACATACATTTGGTTTTGTACTGAGGAAGGCCAAATATAGGTTGAAAGCTTGGTAAAGAACCAATGCCAATTTGTGTTTTTTGAGTTGAGCCAACCAGTGGGATGAGAACGAGTGGCACTGGCTGCTGGCCTTCCTCAGACGACTGCATGAAGGGGTTCAAGCAATCATTTGCTATAGGGCTACACTCCTAGAAACCCCTCTGTTCTACCAGTTAATGAACTAATTGCCTCATCTGAAAGAAACCTGTTCCTCCTAAAAATACTCAATTTTCATTATTGGAAGTTTGGGGCTCAATCAAACATTTCAATTTATTCTATCCAGCCTCTCCAATCCAAAATCCTTCTACGCCAACCTACGTATTACAATCATTCACAGCCTTGTGAGAAGAAATTGCATAATACAAATACCCTTTCCTCACCCCACTCCCAACCTAGGTCTCAATATCTACTGAAGAGGCAATGGTCTAGAAATTTGCTTCGGTGATTTATGTGTGAAATTTGAGGGTGTCACCAGTGGGTTATTATTTATTATTTACTTATCCCAACTATGGTTGCAGGTATAATTATGAAATAAATATTACAAAAAAATGCTTTTCCAACCTTTTGAAAAAAAATTTAAAAATTTCAGATTTATATAGGAAATATTATGTAGGTTGCAGAAGTTCAATTATGTGGAGTATGATGTAAATGGCAACATAACATGTGGCCCATGTAATTAAACTGAGAATGCCATTTTACTATATTTGAAACTTTAAACATTATTTTTTTAAACGTCATATGTTATCTTATTACCCTTGCGCTTTTACATGTCTGTTTTTTGTTAATTTCTGTTAAAATGATTTTTGTCAATTGGCGACGTATTCTGCATGTAAACAAATATTTAAAAATAGCCTACATAATTGACGTATCTCTAGGTGCTGTCGGCTCTCTAGGTCTTCTTTATTCCTACTATTTGAAGAAAGAGGACATAAAGAAAATAAATTGCTTTGAGGAGTCTGTAAGAAAGTAAAACAATCATACAAAGGGATGGAAATTCCAACACATATGTACATAAAGGCAGAAATAACATTGTTAATGAGAACAGCTGAAGCCAAGAGTAAAGATTTGGATGAATTTGATGCTAAAAGATACAATGATAAATTTTCATCACTTAACAAAATTGTAAAAAGCAATATTTATATGATTTATGTATTTTAAAAATAAACTATCAAAAAAATCACATTATATATAAATGATATGATTTTAATTCAAACACATGTTTTATGTAAATATTTTTAAAAAACGGACAAAGTACCACTTAAGATGAAGTAAATACCAACAGTTACAATGGCCACAACCCAAATTGATTTCAACAATTCTGAACCACCCAGACTGAGTTGTGGCTTCTTCATTTCTGCTTTAGCTTCAACTATAAAACTTCGTTCTGAATTTAGTTTATTCCCAAAGTGATTTAACAAGGATTTATGGAAATGTAAATCCATCTGCTCCGGCTGTGTCCACTGTGACTTTTAAAAAGATGGATTGACTATTCGATGAGACAGAAGCATACATATGTTCTTTTATACTACTTTGCATGAAATGATTTTTGTTAATTGGAGGCGTATATTGCACATGAACAAATATTTAAAAATTGCTTATATCATCGACGTATCTCTCGGCGTGATCGGCTCTCTTGGCTTACTCTATTCATATCACTGTATGAGGAAAGAAGAAGATGAGAAGTACGAAAATAAACAAAACTGTCATGAACATAATTGTTTCCCTCACTATGAACCACAGGGACAGATCATAATTGAACAAGTCAACGAAAAGAAGTTTGAAGAAGTTGAACAGATCCTGGAAAACAGTTTTAATAACATTTTGGATGTAGAAACAAAAGAAAATAAAACAAAACATTAATTTTTTTATCGATATGTTTGGCTTTTGCAACTGGATCACCTTTTATTTTAATGTAAGTCCTTTAAATATCAAGCATCGAAAAAAAGTTTTTACACGGTTAATTCATAGAAGATCACAATTTCTTTCAAAAATAATGTTAAGTGTACAAAGCATAACCAAATGTATCAACATATTAAGATGGTGAACATCCGAAATCTAACAACTGTATGAGAGTATAAAGGAGAAACATTTTACCCTGCTTTCATTACATTTCTATTATAAAAATAGATAGTAGTAATTTATTTAATAATAACACTCATGTGTCAACAATTAATGACTTGTAATTGCTAAAGAGTTTTCATATTCTCTTTAAGGTCTTGTACTCACTTTTTTTATTCACTTTCTTTCTATATTTTTATGATGTTTACAAGAGATGTCTGTGCCTCTGCCATTTCAGCCTCTGGGGTTTAATTAAAGGATTCCTCTTTATGAGCTTATAGGACCACAGAACTACAACCACTAAATATAAGACAAAAAATAATGACCTGATGTTTTATTACAAACTCATAAATAATATGCCCACAATTAATTATTTGCTAAATTTCTATGTTTCACAGTTAACACCAGACAAAAAATATTATTTTCAAAATCTAATTATAGTCAATACCTTTAATTAAGTTAATTTAAACATTAACATGGCAATTGTGTTTAATTTGTTTATATATTTCTGTTGTTTAATTAAATTTTTGTGATTCCTTCATACTTTGTTTATATTCACATGTGTATTATACCATAATACTTACATTTTTTGCTTGTTATGTTAAATATTTACTTATTTTTAATTATTGTTATATGTATATATTATTACTTATTTCAATTAATTATTCATTTTACATAAATACATAAATAATAATGAAGAAGTGAAACATAAATAATAATAAACACATTACAATAATTAAAAATACGGACATATTCAACATAACAAACACAAATGAAATATCGTAAGTATGTGTAGAGATTAGTGACCGTTATTCGATAGTTATTCAGATATCGTGAGATGCGGTCGGGTGTGATGTAGGTTTCAGAAAAACATTTTCTTTATCGTGCCAACGTTTCGATCTTTTATTGAGATCATCTTCAGGNCAAACACTTTGAGCCCTGAAGATGATCTCAATAAAAGATCGAAACGTTGGCACGATAAAGAAAATGTTTTTCTGAAACCTACATCACACCCGACTGCATCTCACGATATCTGAATAACTATCGTAAGTATTATGTCATAGTACACGTGTGTAAAAAAATATGAAAGAAATGAGAAAGAACGATAAAAATTTAATGAAGAAAAAAAAACAGAAATATACGAACAAATCAAACATAATTGCCATGATGAATAATAATTTAAAAAAATTAAATTGACTTAAGGAAAGGTAAAAAGTGTTACCTTGAAGTTAAATACTCATTTCCATGAGTCGAGGAATCGGCCCAAATTTTAAATAATTTGTATTATGAAAATACTATTTTTTGTGATAGAAATTGAGATGGAAATTTAGTAAATTGATTAATTGTGGACATTCAATCATATTATTGATATGATTAATTTATTAATTAATCATATTACCTGATATAAGAAAATATCAGGTCATTATTTTGTTGTCTTATGTTGGTTGCAGTTCTGCTAATTCCATAATAAGTTGATAAGGTGTGTTTTAATAATTCTAAAACAGAATGCAAATGAATTGTCACTGAACATTTTCTATTGAATCACTTAGTACTTTCTGATATGGTGACCAAACAACCGAACAGTATTAAAAATGGGATAAACCATAGCATTAAACAGTATAATCATTGTTTCTGCATCCTTATAATTTTTGTAGTTCTATGTAAGAAACCAAAAATTTGATATGCATTATTAACTATTGAGGTGCAATGTAAAATGTGAGGTTGTTAGAGTTGGTGGTTCCAAGGTCTTTAATGGTAGTCTGCCTGTCTTATTGGATATTTTGTATGGCATAAATGTAGACAACACTACTTCCTAGACTATAACTAACAACCTTACACTTAGTTACATTTAGTTCTGTGCCTTATATGAACACAATTCAACAAGATTATTTACAGATCTTTACAGAAGCTCAGCAACACGAATCAACCTTCAGGTCATCAGCAAAGAGGGAAAAATTAATAACACGCAGAAATATCATTAATAAATACCTTTCAATTAATTAATCTTTATGTAAGGTATTAGTTGAGATAAAAAAGTCAGTGTTACGAGCGGGATTCGAACCCACGACCTTCGGCTAAATACGCTGCTGCTCTACCACTTTTGTGACTTCGATCCACTTGGACACCAACTTTCCATCCTAACCCACCTTTCGAATCCCCCCCCCCTTGTTGCCATTTTTCAAATGTCGTCTAATCGGTGACAAATGAAATGGCCACGGAGAGTTTAAGTGAAGATATATGCCATTTTAATTATTAAATCCATAGATTTCATGGTCCAATTACCAAATAAAATCTTTCAATTAAGAAATCTTTATGTAAGGTATTAGTTGAGATAAAAAAGTCAGTCACATTATCAAATGCGTTGGCATAATCTAAATTTGTAGATTGTATCAACCTGTTGATGAATAATTGGCTTTGGTTATGTAAAAAAGAAGAAGATTTCTTTTTGAACGAGAAGGGTGGAAACCATGTCGTGCAAATATTATGTAAGGATTTAGTAAAGGATCGGTAATTTGCTTCGCCAGCAGTTCTGGGTTTGAACTCTATAAGAGTTCATGACTTTTTAATTTATTATAGTATGAAAAATGTATTGAGAAGTGGTTTGACCCCCTCGTCCGTGATTCCCAACAGGTGGTCGTTCGTAATTTTTTCCTTTACTTAATCAATCAATCTAAACTATACAGAATCTTCAGTTAAGTCCAAAATTTTGAATTGAAAAATCCTTCATTGTACAAGAGGTTAGATAGTGAAGACATGCTTACTGAAAAATGAACTATTCCGACAAAGAATCGCAGGAAGAAGGCTAAGTTCATTTTGACTAAAATAATATTTTCCTTTCCTCAGTGAATTTTATGTTATCGTTATTATAAAAAAGTATTATTTAATAAATTTATGAACTTACAGTTAATAAATGTATCAACGTACGTGCAGCCGTTAGAAAAGAGAAGACAAAAAGGCGGGCTTGTGTCCGCGTAGTGCCGGGTTCATGTCGCAGCCATAATCGATTTTTGCATAGCAGCTATAACGAACATTTTGAACTTTGTTATATTGTATTTTATGCAATTAAATTATTTAAAAACATACATAACGATTAAATAATCATTAATTTTTATTTATAATTTAATTAAATATTTTATTTTTTCGAAATTGATAGCGGTGGCCGAGCTAGATCGGAAGGTTCAAAGCTGTTAACAGAATGCCGTTTGTTGATACCAGTATGAAAACGTAACTCGTACGTTTTCTTTAGAGTCAGTATCGTTTGTATTTTTGAACATAATATTCGTCTTATTTTTATCATTAGAAATTAACATTTCAACACGGAAAAATGGTAAGTCTTATATTGAAAAACCGTTTTTAGACGCAATAGTGTAACCCAGGACCGTTTGTGCTTGTTCTATAACTCAGATCATGGGAAAAAACATTGAGTTTTTGCTTCATAAACATGCTAAGACCTGTCAGTTTTTGCTTAGATGTTTCTCATGATCTCGATAAAAATACATCGTTGACGCCTTTGCGTTAAGGCCAATTGTTCACTTTAGGAAAATTATTTGTTTTATTTAACATATTTGTACATGTATTAAAGTTTGTGTTATCAATGATTACACGGTGTATGTACATGGGACTGATGAATGATGATGAATCCATAACTTGATCCGTACCGATGCCCATCCTCACTGCGTTTCACCATCTTGAATGGGTCGGATGGCTTTTATCCATTTTCAGTTTTGGTTTTGTTTATCGCCTCTCCCTGTTTATAACCCTATCTACTGAAGATGGCGGAATGCATTATGGCCGTTTCTGATTGAGTCTGCTTTGTTGTTTTGCATTCAGTGGTCGTAAGAAGTCATTTCCGTCCCACAACTGAATACCAAAACAATGAGAATAGTCAGACCAAAACGTAAAATGACCAACATACATATTAAACAATTTATCTGTTACCATCTCAGACAGTAATTGAGCTGAAGTTTATGGATGTTATTTGGTTTGCCATAGATTATGGCGAAAAACCGAAAGGCATCTAACTGACTAAAACAGTGATGATAGTCAGGCGAAGATGATTGGTAAGGATCTAATTACATCCTTCAATTAGAATTGTGGATCCTATGTTTTAGTCTTCTTCACACAGTAGGCCATGTATAAATGTTTGAGAATGTAATAAACAATACCTGTTGCTAATGTATTTCAGGAAGGTTGATTTCACAAAGGATGAAAATATATAAGTGGTTTCTGAATGTAGAATATTTTGAACTGTTGAGCATGTATTTTTATGTATTTTATTATTATTTATTTATGTATTTTTATATTGGTGAATTTGGAGGAGTATGACACCAATTAGTGATTTGCTCTTGCCATGACAAAGTGTGATATAGACTTGTTCAATATCGTTTTTGAAATTTTGAAAATAGTTAGTTAAACACTGCCATCCGAGCACTTATGGCTAGTTTTTTTTATATAAATTTTTTTTGAATATAAAAATATACCCTAAGGTAAACTTTGCAGTTGACTAGACCAAGTTCATTATTGCATATATCTTCATAAAGGTTTCAGTGAAGGCCAATAAATCATAACCCAAGCGACATATCCATGATGTGGTAGAGCAACGAAAAATTAAATTTATTTAATAATTTTGGAAGTACTTTTGTGATATTGATAAGTATAGCTCTTACAATCTGTGTGTGGCCTCTTAAGTATTTCATAGCTGTCATTTTCTCCATCTAGTCTCTTGTTCAGTTTTGATCACATCAGTCTGAGATATTCTCTCTCCTTAACAATCAGATCTTTTCTAATTCTTACATCTTTAAATGGTGATTCATTAAGGATGTTTTGATATCTAAAAATGCGAAATGCCATGTCTCTATTCTCAAAAACAACTTTGAGAGGTCATATTTTGTTATTGATAGGTTTATCAAGACAAAATGTAGTCACTTTAGAATCATTTGCCAAGTGCATTAAGAATATTTGAGATTACTGTGTGTGGTGTTTAGTGACCGTTAATTAATGATTATTTGGACATCGTGAGATGCGGTCTGGTGTGACGTAGGTTTAGAAAAACATTTTCTTCTATGTTCTACGTTTCGGTCTTTATTGAGATTGAAACGTTGGCACGATAAAGAAAATGTCTAAACCTACGTCACACCAAACCACATCTCACGATCTCCAAATAATCATTGACTTACAGCCACTAACCATGAAACATTTTTATTAATTTTTTTCCTTTACTCAATAATTATTATTTTTGAATTTGGAAAAAACATTTTCTTTTTAAATGTCTTATTTTTACAACCAACTCTCTTTTTGGTATGCAAAATATGAATAACCTAAATACATTAAAATTGAAGGGTGGTGCGTTAATTTTGTCCAACAGTGTAGTAACAACCAAACTGTTAACTAAATTGTTTCTTGAGATCTGCAGGGCGAATTTGTAGTTTGGTAATTTTTGATTATTTTTCTCTGCCTCGTAAGTTTTGCCTTTAGTTATAAATAATGCACTGTTTGAAAGTATCAGTGTGTAAAATAGCATATTAATTAATTTTGTTGTTTTTAGTTATTCTATTCGTTTTTCAAGTCCCTTGTTGGGAAAGATGTGGTTGTAGAGCTAAAAAATGACCTCAGGTAATATATTTAAGATTTCCAAATTTATTTTTGAGTTTATGTTTTATGTTTTACGATTTCAGTATTCATGGTATTTTACATTCAGTGGATCAATATCTTAATATCAAATTGACTGACATTAGTGTTACAGATAGTGAAAAATACCCTCATATGGTAAATATCTGCTCATCTCTAAATATTATCACTATAAGTTTTTTGTTTAATTAATTAATTTTTATTTCTGTTAGTTGTCAGTTAAGAACTGTTTTATTCGAGGATCTGTAGTACGATACGTTCAACTTCCTGCCGATGAAGTCGATACACAATTGCTACAAGATGCTGCCCGAAAGGAAGCTTCGGCACAAACTCGATAAATTATTTTAACAAATTTTACCAAATCTTGTCTTATTGCATTAAAGTCATTTGTAAACAAACCTATTAGTTATGTTTATTTTCCCTTTTAAACCTTGTAAATTTTATATTTTTATTTTATTTTAAAAAAAGATTTTTTATTTAAATTTTTTTTAAAGAACAACAAGGACAATAAATTCATGAATTAAAAAATAAGTGATATGAATGTTTCTTCCATTTATGATTACAATGTTGAAATATTAAATTATCCCACATTTCATCAGTAGTTTTACAATCAAATTGGATGGAGATGAATAGAAAAAAAGTCTGTGGCATTGTGTGTATAAATTATTGGACATTGGTTTAAAAAATTGTCTTTACTTTTTGGGGGGGGGGGATCCTATTCAAGGGTTTGTGTTCCAATATTTATTGGAGAATTGATAAGATACATATTTTTAATCTTTGCACTGAAGCACAGTAAGATTATCTATTTAATATTTTGACCGCTGCTTCAGAGTGAGATGCGACGAGTTCTTTGAAATCAGACTGATACAAGCCAAAGTCCCACAAGGGAACATTCTAGGTCCCATCCTCGATATCATCTTAGCTACCTGCACCCCCAATACCATCATTACAACCTACACGGACGGCACTGCAATTTTCTCCTCTAACTAGCTTTTGAGAAAAATGATGTTCTTGATGATGTGATTTCACTAGGAATGCCATCAAGGAACAAGGAAGGTCAAAATTATCAGTTAAAAAATTAATTTACACCGATTCCCGGGAAAGTCGGTATTTGAGTGACCAGAATCACGAATCTGATAATGAGGGCGAGTTTTGACCTCCTTTGCTTACAGAATGTTTGTTAAAATATGCAAAAAGTAGTATTTTGTTGATTTATCTTATTAAATCATACCGAATTAGAATATTATATGTCATAGGACTTTTTTTTTATGTTAACCTACCAAATCGAATTAATTGATGAAATTTTGTTTATTCTCTAAATAAAAACAGTCAAAAGTCAGTAAGTGACAGATTCGTGTCTGAAATTTTAGAGTGTAGAATCAACAAAAAAAGTTTGGTCCAAATCCTTGACCCGCCAACTTGGTCGTCGCTTGTTAGTGTAGCTGTGGCCGTATGAACAAACATACAGTGGAAACCTCTTTTATCCGGACCGGTTTGTTAAAATATTTTTTATAAATTTTTCACAATTCTCAATGTATGTGTATTAATTTTTAAACATTTATAATTCAACTATGTGACATTTAATTTGCTGTTCAAAATTTGTAAAGGCTACTAAACCGCACATCTACTAGTCACACGATCGAAGAAGCCAGAAAGGCTGACAATCACATTTTTATTTAACAAAAAAATAAATAAATAAACAAATTAATTAATTTAAAAAAAAATAAAAAAGGAATATCCTATTTTAAAAGACTAGAAATTGTTGTGTCATGTTGTTTGTATGTTGGCTTCCATTGAAAAGGTTTTTTTTTATTATGTTAAATTATATGATTTTTATTAGGCATTTTGTATGTATAAATTTTTCAAGTTTATTCGGACTTAAACAAAAATAAAACTAATAATAACTATCTATTATTTTAAATGTTTATATGAATAAAAGTGTTCACTTTCGTATGTGTGTTTTTATGACACGATTCTAATAAAATCACAAATTTTCGGATTATCTGGACTTTCGATCATCTGGACAAATCCCAGTGCTTTCAAATCCAGATAAATGGATTTCTACTGTATTGTTATCACATTTGTAATATGTTTAAGCTACAATTAAAAAACATTAAAAAAAATTAATATTCTTCATATTTATTTCCGGGGAAGAAGAGGAATCTGTGTCACAATATTCAATAAAATGTGCCTATATCCATATATGTAGTTTGTAGCCATAATTGACCGTATTAATTTTTTAAATTAATTATACTTTTAATCGATATGGCAAAAATTGGGAAAAATTGGAAAAATGTAGGTTGACATGAGGAGTTGGTGTCTGGGTGGATCGAAGTCATGACAGCTCAAGTGGTTAGAGCAGCGACGTATTGAGCTGAAGGTCGTGGGTTCGAATCATGTTCATGACACTAGCTTTTTCATCTCAACCAAGACCTTAGATTAAAAGTATAATTAAGTATAATATAAATTTAATTGCACTCATAAAAACGAACGAATTTATTTGCCAACCGTATAGTTACCTGTAATTTTAATTTTGGATTTGAAATAATTACGTGTGCTTGCTTTATTACAGTTTTATTTGTGCTCAAGCAAATTCGTCATCGATACATATTCAGCTTGATTAATAGATGTAGTAGCCTATGTACATCTTGTGCTTTCTCTCTTATAACAACAATCTATATATTTATGTATTTACAAAATGCATAACATTTATAAATAAATTGAAATTGTATTTACATTGTTTAAACATTGAACATCATAACTTAATGTACATTACATAGAACATTTATTTTATACACAATATAAAATGTATTAAAAGTTCGAGTGGCATTTTGTACTAGTTATACATATGTTTTGACTAGTGCCTAAATTTGTATGATTTGGATACTAAATTTTGAAAATAAAATGTTTATGTTATTCCAGAAGTCTGCATTTATGGACGCGAAACCAAGTATGAAAGGTGTTGGTCCCTCTGCCATTACAATTTAAAATATTGATGTCACTATTAAATATAGTATGTAAACATTTAAATTTGAAAAAGGCTGTTAAGTTAAAAAATTGGGTGTTACTTCAATTGAAAACTTATATGGTACCGTTTTGATAATTTTTGTTTTAAGACAAGATTAAAGAAGAATAAATTTGATCATTGTGCCAAATGCAATCACAGAATACAATTAAAATAAGAAGAATTAAAGGAAAAAGCATTTGGCAAAATTTGAGCAGAGAGAATTATGTTAAACTGTATTAAAAAATTTTTTCAACTGCATATGAAGCTTGTTTTCATCAGCTTGTTAGTCTTTCCTGTTACTGTTCGTTACTGCTAAAATATGAATTTTGCATAAGGTAAAGCTTGTCGATTGGATTAATATGACCCATCGGGTTGTGGAGCATCCCTTCGTGACTCGGTGGTGGCCCCAGTTCAAGGGACAAGGTATCCGAGCCGCCCTCATCGAGGTTTGTGCTGTCGTCCAAAGAGATGTCAGAACTGCAGAAACTCTCGCCGGAATGTGCTGGATAGTTGTCTTTAAAACAAAATAAAATAAAATTAGCCCTGTTAACAAAATTTATCTATAATAATAAAAATTATAAAAAAATTTACCGTCAGGTGAATACGGATGATTCGGATTAAGGGGTTGGCTGCTCGACGTTGGATATGCGGAGTCAGATGAGTCGTGCATACTCAGCGCGTTCAAACCCAGATAATGACCTAGAAAGCCAACACGGTTACTTATCTTTTCAGCCACTTTAATCTCTTGAAATAATTTTTAATTACTTACTGTGATCGTTCGATAAAGGCTCTTGCTTTATACATTTGTCCCTTTTATCATCCTTATCTCCAGGCGATTTATCTGAATCTTGTTTCGCCTTTCTTTGTATCTTCTTCATTTTAGCTCTTTGATTTTGAAACCAGACTTGGACGACTCTCACGCTCAGACCAGTCTCCTTTGCCAATGCTTCTCTTACCTGTGAAACAAACAAATATCAGATTATATTTTACTATTATAATTTTATGATTATTATATGTATTATATTTATAATAATAACTCCTAGTAGCACTGAAGAAGGACCTGTGGCACAGGCTGAATATAGCATGAAACAATAAACTAATCTCAAGGCTGAATTGGCGATTTTATGGTTTTTATTTTTTATTTTATGGTTTAAAAAAAAAAAAAAAAAAAAAAAAAGGAAATTTATATGTGATTCTGGATTGAATGCCCATAACTGCTTTTGATTTGAAATTTGTTGTTTAAATGATCATTTAGGTCCCTTCAAGTTTTGCAGAAAAGTCATATCCTCATATCATCCATAGTTATCAGGTTTCTGTTTCATTTTTTCATTGTTTTAGGCTTATTATTGTACTTATTTTCTGTATGCTGTACTGAAGTAGATTTTTGTTTTTCTTGTTGAAACGTGGAGAAACATCTTTGATTTGAAATTTGTTTGAATACTGATCATTTAAGTACTTTCAGTGTATGTCAGACGGCTGGAACAGGGAACCTATTTGCAGTGTTGGGTTTGTTTCTTGCCTCTCCCTGTTTATATCCTTGACTACCACCGATTAATGGTGAAATGCTGAATTGACCATTCGACCAAACAGTTTTTTTCTTAAAATTCGCACTCTGGGATTTACCAATAATTAATAAATGAATATTAACACCAATAAAAAAGTAAATAAATGTTACAGTATGTTGTGACAGTAAACAATAATTTACACCGAGGATACGAGGACGGCTCGGCGAAAGTCTACCTCACCTTGATTACCGGACGGTTGTGCTGGTTTAGTATAACTTTTCAATACAACTTTATCATTTCAAAATTACTAAACTTTATGATTATCTGCGCGTCCGGGATCACGTGTTGAACTGACACTTTACCTGGGTCCGTACTTCAGTTCCTCACTGAAGATGGCGCACAGCCGTTACGCAATTGAGTGACCTTGAAACTCGCAAGTTTTGACAAACCCATTAGTAACATAGAGACAGTTGAACTGCGACTTTTTGAGCAAAACTTTAGGTTTGGTAAGGATGCCAGAAACTCGGGATTGGATAGAGTCGGAAGTCGTCTGATTCTGATCTATTCGGTATTGCAGGAGTCCTCAAGATGTCAGACCAACACATGTACTCTTGGTGTAAGCCAGATGATTCCTCAGTTCGAGGTCAATGTCTAGAGGAACTGTTTGATAAAAAAAGTCAAGAAAGGACGGGTGAAGAATGAAGAACATGATCGCCTTTCTCCAACGAATAACAGAAGAGAGTACTCGTGAATTTCGTGAAATTGAAGGGGTCAGTTTTAGCATGCTTGGGGGATTCCAATTTATGGTTCTGGTTCAAAGGGTTGTGGGGTGGCTCTTGCTTTTTCTAGTTTGTCAGCATGTTTGTTGCTTTCTAATCCACTCATGTCCTGACACTCATATCAGCATTACCTGATTACGCTCTTCAATGTTTTCCTGAGTTTTGTAAATTATTTTAATTTCTTTAATTCCTTAGCTCACATGTTTTGACTTTTAGTCGTCGTATGTGGTGGGATTGTACTCAGGGATATAAACAGGGCGAGGCAAGAAAAACCCAATACTGAAAATAGAAAAAAACCAGCATTCTATGACAGAACAAAAGACAAAAATGGCCGAAACGACCTTGCTGACAGGTTCATCACCAGACTAGAGTTTTTTTTGTAAAATTCAAAGTTTATAATTTACCAATAATTAATAAAGGAATATTAGCACTAATAAAAAGTAAATAAACGTTACGGTAAGTTGTGACAATAAATAATAATTTAAATCGAAATTACAAGGATGGCACGGCGAAATCTACCTCACCTTGATTACACGACGGTTGAGCGGGCTTAGTATAACTTTAGTATAACTTTCCAGTAGATGTGGTTTCTTTCATTTTCTTTTTTTTTCATGACCTAGGGTTCCGTAAATTGTGTGTTGGAATCTTTTGACAGCAGATCAAAAGCCGAGAGGTTTTCAGGACTGCCAGGAGCTTTCAGGACGCTTTGACTATCCTCCATCCCTGAACTATCACTCTGATATTTTCACACCTGAAGAGGTTTGTGAGCGATTGGCTCTTGACATAAGCTTCTTCATGTTTCCATTTCAAGGTATGCTCGTTTATAATTTAAATCGACTTGCAATTTTGACAGTGGTACTATGAGTTATTCAAAGTAATAAAACCCTTTGATTCTTTTTATAAGATTTGTTGGTGTACGAACCTTTCGACATGGCTTTGGACTGACTTCAAAGGATGCTTTGAACTGTCTTCTTTGAGCTGAGGTCAATATAGTTCTCGGTCTTTTCGGTCCACGTCTTCCGTCTCTTGGCCGGCTGTTTTCGTCCATCAGCATCTCGTCTAAAAAAACACACAAAAAAAAAACAATTTTAGAAAAGTGAGTCTATTGTACGTATTACTGGGATCGTGAAATCGTAATTACCAGACGGCGACGTGGATTGTTGAAGTATGAACATTTCCTTTTCAAAGTCCTGGCGGCAGAAAAGTTGGCCGCTCCTTAGGACAAACTGTTCACCCTTTTGCAGCGGTTGACAACAGACGACGCAGGTAAAACACGGCAAGTGGAAAACATGCGTCTGGGCCCGCATTACCATCTCGTGAGGATGCAGTCGATCACCGCATCTCGAACACTTCACCCCGAACAGTCTAATGACACGTAAAACGGTATTATTTCTATTACAGAAGAATTTCGTTGTCATTTCTGTCATTTACCTGTCGTAATCGGGTTTACAGTAGAGTTTGCCGTTTCTGCAGTAGCACGAATGGGACAGAAGCGCTCCGCACACGGTACAAGAAAGGCAGTGTTCGTGCCAGCTACCGTCTGCCACTCTCATGAGGTACCTGTCGTGGATCTTCTGACCGCATCCTTCGCACATCTCATACGTCTTGTCGCACTTCCCTTGAACGCTAGTTACATCTGTACAACAAATAAAAGTCAAATAAGTAAATTTAGAAGTACAACAATATGTGGTAAATAAAAAGTGTTATGCGATGTGTTAAACGTGTAAGTTGGTCGAAACCACACAGACCTGGGCTAAAGATGGCGAAAAACAGAAACTTTTCTGGCAACAATTTCGACTAAAACTTCATATTAATTTGTAGCTTTGTCATTTACGAACGGTTTGGTCTGACAGAAGCTTTACTCCTATCCGCCGATTTAAGAAAAAGTGTTCCGCCGCGCCCTGCTTATAACCCTTAAAAACTACTATGGTAAAATTTTGGAAAAATGAAAGAATAGTACAATTTCCTCCAAATATACAACATAGAAACATGTACGACATATGTGGTAAATAAAAAGGATTTTGCGGGGTGATGAACCAAGAGTTTTGTCTTTTCGAAACCGAAAATGAAGATGGCGAAGAACCGAAACCCTTATGGTAGCAATTTCGACTAAAAATTCGTAGCTCTGGTGTTTCCGTACGTTTTAGTTTGAGACGCGTTTATGACTATCTATTTATATAAGAAAAGGGTATCTGGCCCCGCCCTGCTTATATCCCTTAAAAATTACTATGGTGAAAAGTTGGTAACATGAAAGAATAGTAAACTTTTCCTCCAAAATAAGTACATTTTGAGGTACAATATAGAAACAGTAAATATTTGGTAAATAAAAGGGTCATTCGAGGTGATGAACATGGAAGTTGGTGGTTTCCGAAACCACACAGACCTAGGCTGAAAATGACGAAAAGCCGAAACTTTCTAGCAGTAGTTTTGATTAAAACTTCACATAAGTTTGTAGTTTTTTCGTTTCCCAATCTTTTGATCTGTCGGACGTGTTTCTGCTATACGACTATTTAAAAAAAAGTGTCTGGCCGCGCCCTGCTTATAGTCCTTAAATACTATGGTGAAAAATTGGAAAAAATGAAAGAATAGTACTTTTTCCTCCAAAGTAAGTACATTGTGAGGTACAGTATAGAAACAGTTAATATTTGGTTAAAAAAAGGGTTATTCGAGGTGATGAACATGCAAGTTGGTGGTTTCCGAAACCACACAGACCTAAGCTGAAAATGGCGAAGAACCGAAACCCTTATGGTAGCAATTTCGACTAAAAATTCGTAGCTCTGGTGTTTCCGTACGTTTTAGTTTGAGACGCGTTTATGACTATCTATTTATATAAGAAAAGGGTATCTGGCCCCGCCCTGCTTATATCCCTTAAAAATTACTATGGTGAAAAGTTGGTAACATGAAAGAATAGTAAACTTTTCCTCCAAAATAAGTACATTTTGAGGTACAATATAGAAACAGTAAATATTTGGTAAAAAAAGGGTTATTCGAGGTGATGAACATGCAAGTTGGTGGTTTCCGAAACTTCACAGACCTAAGCTGAAAATGGTGAAAAGCTGAAACTTTCTAGCAGTAATTTTGATTAAAACTTCACATAAGTTTATAGTTTTTTCGTTTCCTAATCTTTTGATCTGTCGGACGTGTTTCCGCTATACGACTATTTAAAAAAAGTTGTCCGGCCGCGCCCTGCTTATAACCCATAAATACTATGATGAAAAGTAGAAAAAATGAAAGAATAGTACTCTTTTCCTCCAAAATAGGTATATTTGAAGGTACAACATAGAAACAGTAAATATTTGGTTTATAAAAAGCGTTATGCTAGGTGATGACATGAAAGGTGGTCGTTTTCGAAACCACACAGTCCTAGGCTGAAGATGGCGATAAACTGGCTTTGTCGTTTCTCAATATTTTTTGGTCTGTCAGACGTGAACTGCTATCCAACTATTTAAGAAAGATGACAAGCCGCGCCTTGCTTATATCCCTTACAAATTACTATGGTGAAAATTGGTATCATGAAAGAATAGTACACTTTTCCTTCAAAATAAGTACATTTTGAAGTACAATATAGAAACAGTAAATATTTGGTAAAAAAATGGTTATTCGAGGTGATGAACATGCAAGTTGGTGGTTTCCGAAACCACTCAGACCTAGGCTGAAAATGGCGGAAAGCCGAAACTTTCTAGCAGTAATTGTGATTAAAACTTCATATAATATTGCAATTTTTCCGTTTCCTAATCTTTTAGTCTGACAGACATGTCTCTGATATCCAACTATTTAAAAAAAGGTGTCCGGCCGCGCCCTGCTTAAAACCACACAGACCTAGGCTGAAAATGGCGAAAAGCCGAAACTTTCTAGCAGCAATTTTGATTAAAACTTCACATAAGTTTATAGTTTTTTCGTTTCCTAACGTTTTGGTCTGTCAGACTCGTCTCTGATATTGCCTAGTGTCCTGCTTTTATCCCTTAATAACTATTATTGTAAAAGTTTGGATAAACGAGAGAATAGTACACTTTTCCTCGAACATTTGCGTCAAAAAGACTCGAATAATCCAGTTGGATTATCTTCGTCCTGGTACAATCGGTATTTGTCAGCTTTGCTCTCAACTTATTTCGGGGGGTGGGTGGGAAACGTCAATCGACGACTCGCTTAATCTAAATCCTTCGAGCCTCCACAGGCCGATGCGCCATGTGGCGAATTCTCCTTATCTAGGCACATACGCCCTCACAGACACGTACAAACGTACAGATAATTAAAACCACTCGCATACACAAGATAACCGATTACATTACTAACTTTCACTACTGACATTTCCCTGTTTGTTCGGTAAATACAACTCGATAAACTACGTCGATGTGCGTCAGCGATAAATTAAATCAATCAATGTAAAAAAAAATTGTTTTTAACAAACCGCGACTTCTTTTTCGGCCAGAGAGTGGGTTAAAAGCGGTCTGTACAATTTGTAAATCTCATTAAAACGTAATGAAGGATGAATTAAAAAGATGGCCGAGGACGTGTTGCGGCGGTAGGTTAGGGTGCTAATGGGCGAGGTGATTAAGAGGAACAATTAGCTAGGTTCATTACCACCCTACATCATCCCCATTGACCTCTCACACCCTCGTAATGTACCCCTATTTATAACATCCGTCCTCTCTTCGAACATCGCTGTTTACGCCTGGATTCGGAAGTGTGGGGATTAATTTTTAAGAAAAAAATTAATTATCTGAAACTGCAAATATCACGACCTAAAACCATTCAACTTAATAAAAAAAAGTATTATTACTTTTCCCTCTCGCATTTTGTACATTTTAAGTAATGAAATTTCAACTAATTTTAAGTCCAACTTAATATGGGGAGAACTGCACAACATCGGACACCCGAAAGTAGGTAGATCCCTAAGAATCAAATGTTGATTAAAATATTCTTAAATTTTCAATCTGATGTGTGAGCAAGTTTTCTAAGTTTACGGAGATTTAAAAAAAATCCAACTCAATTAGAAATTTTAAGGCTTTTTTTATTGTGAGGTTGAATTGCTATTGCATTTATTTTGAGAAGTACCACTTAACTTTAACTGTGCTCAAAAGTTATTAACGTATAAAAATTCATATTTATTTTAGATGTGATAATATTTTTTATATTTATGAGAGAAGTTAAGAGATTTTTATATTCCTATTATTCTGACAAACTGTTATTTCACAAATTTATTAATAAAATAGATTTTTTTAAGTTTAAGTTTTTTTTGTTATTTTTATTATATGAAATATGTAGCTCATTCCACGAGTTTATTAATATAACAAGTTATTAAAGTTATTAAGTTTAAATGAAAAGACAGCCAATGCAATCAAAAATTAAAAGAGAATCCCCAGAGCAGAAAGAGATCAAAATTATTTAAACTTAAAAAATACATCGGGTTCCAGAATTGCGGAGGTCGAGTCAGACTGGAAAAGGTCATGCACAAGGTTCATACGTCCAACTAGGAACATGGAAAACGATGGTGAGGCCATGACGAACGTATTTATTAGCGAGAATGAAGGGTCGTATCCTTCGAAACCCGAAGACTGCTCAGGCATGAACGATTGGCTGAATACCATTCAAATTATTTTCGTAGAAATAAGGCCCAATTAATTTATTTCCGAGAAGTCCACACCAAACGTTGATACCGTAAACCACCTGATGACAAGAGTACGAAATTCTCTGATTTTCCTCCGCCCACGTTCGAAAATTTTTTTTTATGGTTTAGGGTGCCATTAGAGAACTTGAATTCATCAGTCCATAGGATGTATAAAAGAACGTTTTCTTCAGCTTACCAAATCGACATTTGTGCAAGGACGTTAGACCAATGTCATAATCAGAGTCCATAAATCCCTGGACAAGATGAGACCCTAAAATTGTAAGTCCGGAGTACATCTGTAATTTTATTTTTTTGAAAAACCTAAAACCCTTCCAATATTTCGGAGAGAGGAATTCGGATTTTCGCGAACATACAGTAAAATATTCATCTCCTCGTCGAAATTAAGGTGCCGGTTTCTTTTTACCATAAATTTGTTATTTTTCGACCAATTAAAAATCCCATTGCACCATTGTTTGCAGCAGAAACATCCTTTAAAATGATGCGTCAGGATGTATAGGGTCTCTAAAAAAAGGTAAAAATTTGAAACTAGACTTTAAAAAAATTTAACGCGTATTTTTTTGTTTTTGTTGATAGCGTCATTGGTTCAAGAGAAATTCAAACGAACCATCCAAAAAGAACACCCTGTGTATAGATGAATCAAATCATGAACTTGGATTTTTAATTAAGAAAAAGACAAAAAGAATTTAAAAAAAGTAGGATCAAAAGAAAAGGACAAAACGACAAAACTATGGAAAGGGAACCGCAATCGGAATCCGATGGGTTGCGGTCCGGCCAGGTGCTCCAAGCTCAAAACAGAATTCCGGCAAAGACCGACGAGAAAACGTCCATCGAGTAAAAACCGCTTTTAGGATTGTTCATGCGGCTTGCGGTGAGAGAGTCAAACCTCGTTAATGAATGACAAATGCCGGTTAGCCGACCTATACCCCGTATAACTGGGACCTGCGGTCATCAGGGCGCACGGCACCCCCTCTGTATAATTACAGACCGCAAACAGCTCTATAATGACC